ATCACGAGGTCGGGAGATGAGACCATCCTGGCCAACATGTTGAAACCCCATCTCTACTAAAAATATAAAAATTAGCCGGGCGTGTGGGTGCGAGCCTATAGTCCCAGCCACTCGGGAGGCTGAGGCAGGAGAATTGCTTGAACCCTGGGGGGTGGAGATTGCAGTGAGCCAAGATCGAGCCATTGCATTCCAGCCTGGTGACAGAGTGAGACTCCTTCTTAAAAAAAAAAAAAGAAATGCCGATTTGAAGGCTGTGATTTTGAATCCCGGCTGTTGTTCACCTGTTGGCTGGCTTTGCTAAGCGTCCCAGGTGTCTGGGGCAAGCAGGCTCTGAGGGACACATCAGGTAATGAGGGAGGGATTTAGAATCTGGCACTGCAGGGGAGACTTTGCTAAATGTCCCACTCTGTCCAGGGGCAGCAGCAGGGAGAACCTGTCCCGAAAGGCGGCAGTGGTCAATGAGCCCAGCACCTGGTGAGCTCTTGGGAAGGACATTACTGTCACCAACCACAATCATAAAACACTAAGGAGACTTTTTTTTTTTTTCTTTTTTGAGACAGAGTCTCACTATTGCCCAGGCTGAAGTGGAATGATAGGATCTTGGCTTGCTACAACCTTTGCCTCCCAGGTTTGAGCAATTCTCCTGCCTCAGCCTCCCAAGCAGCTGGGATTACAATCAGGTGCCACCATGCCTGGCTAATTTTTGTATTTTTATTAGAGACAAGATTTTACCGTGTTGGCCAGGATGGTCTTGATCTCCTGACCTCGTGATCCGCCCACCTCGGCTAAAGTGCTGGGATTACAGGCATGAGCCACTGTGCCAGGCCAAGACACTTCTGAGAACAAGCTACGTCCTCTGTGTCACTGCATTCTGGCTGGTCCAGGAACACAGGTGTGCACATGTCCGGATGTGCATCTGCATAGTCAGGCGCACAGTGTGCATGTGCCCACTGCCCGGGTGTGTTTCCCTGAAGCATGTTTATCCTTCCAGTGTTCCTGTACCTCCGACCTTGGAAGGAGGCGGAGCAGCCTGTCCTGGACCCTGCCCCGCCCCTCCCCAACCCCACCTGCTGTGTGATGAACAATTCCATGCCAGCACAGTGTCCAGCCCACAGATAGGTCCCCCTCATGGAGTGGAAGGACTGTCTTGTATATATGGCTTTCACAGAATCTTCTGTTAATTTTCATTTAGCCTTGTGTGAGGCAACATTTCATTTTGACTGGGCAGTGAGGGAGGTGGTGAAAAATTTTTAAATAAATGTTTTTTAATGGAAGATGAAGATTTTTGGCAATTGAGTCAAGCATCTGTTTTATCACTCGTTGCCACAGACACATTCCATTCAATGAGGGTGTATTTGCAAGTAAAAAGATGCCTCACATTGTTCCAATGTTTATATAATTATCCATCCCTGTTTAATGGAGCACTGCTTAATTTATAATGAATATTTTATATTTATTGTTAGAAACTTAATCTTACGGTGGTATGTATTGAAAAAGCAGTGCATTGATGAATAGAGCTCCTTTTAATTCACACTTCACCCTCTTTGTTTTACTATTACAGATCATTTTAAAACTTCACGATTTAATGTCTTACATGCCAAATGGAATAAAATTTAAAAGGTGCCAGCACAATGAAAGGAGGATCATCTCATCACCCTTGACTTCAGCCATCTAGTTCCTAACCCTAAATCAGCGCCTGTTAATGTTTTAAGTTTTAACTTGACAAGCATATGCATATTTTGCACCTCTGACCCCCCCAGTGCACTTTTTAGAAATGCAGCTGTGAGGATCCTATCCGTCTCTGTATCACACCTGGCTGTCGTCACTCTGTAATAGCCTGAGGACCTTGGGGGTCTCCACTGCAGAATGTTGAGCCTCAGTGATTGGCTTGAGTATTCCATTATGTGGATATGGCCACAGTTACTTGCCCAGGCTGTGCTTTGTTACCGTGCAGCCACAAGGTGAGGTTCTGAGGGGCTGGACACTATGGGTGCGTGCATTTTGGAGTCATCATCTGTGGACCACTGGGGTCACCCTGCAGATCCTGTGAGGCCACATTCCTATTTTTCTGCGAGAGTCATTGATAACAGAAATAAGTGTTTTGGAACTTAACTGGCACTGCTGCTCACTAATGGTGTGAAGGCAGAATTAGTTACCGTTGACTGAGCACCTGTTGGGTGTCAGGCCTATGCTAGTGTGTTCTTCACATCAGCTCTTCACAGGTAGCGTTTGTCTGCAGCATGTTGGGGTGAGGTTTGGCTGGCCAAAGAATGGGTGTTTGGGGGTACAATTATGCACAGTCACAGTTTGCACCCCTGATGTTTAGCCCCCAGTGTGCCCATTTCAGTGGGAGGAGACTGGAGGGGCCGTGGCTGGAAGTCTTTGAGGCGGCGCAGGGAGGAGTCTGCCTCCCAGGCATCTTCTTCCTTGGGGCTCTTGAGCTTTCCTCCTAAGCTCCTGCAGGTGGGCTCTGCCTGCCCGCTCTGCCAGCTGGACAGGCATTTCGTGCCCCAGAAGTCTCTGCTGTTCAACACCAATCTATTCAGGCTTTCACCTGCCCTCTAGAGATCACTCGGATCTCCTCCTGATCTACCCGACCATCCTTTCCCAAAGCAGGAGTGTTCCTCTGACGGGACGTCTCACTCGGCATCTGGAGACCCTTGATGCTGTCATTGTAGGGCCTGTGGCATCTGGTTTGCTGCACAGTTTGCGCCCATCATGTGACCCGGTGGGTTGTGCTCCCCAGCGTGCGACCCAGTGGGACATGCTCCTCTACCGTGTGACCCGGTGGGATGTGCTCCCCAGCGTGTGACCCGGTGGGATGTGCTCCCCAACGTGTGACCCGGTGGGTTTTGCTCCCCAGCGTGTGACCCAGTAGAACATGCTTCTCCAGCAGGTGACCCGGTGGAACATGCTTCTCCAGTGTGTGACCCGGTGGAATGTGCTTCTTCATCGTGTGACCTGGTGGGACGTGCTCCCCAGTGTGTGACCTGGTGGGACGTGCTCCCCAGCATTGTGACCTGGTGGAATGTGCTCCTCCATCATGTGACCTGCTGGGACGTGCTCCCCAGCATTGTGACCTGGTGGGACGTGCTCCCCAGTGTGTGACCTGGTGGGACGTGCTCCCCAGCGTTGTGACCTGGTGGGACATGCTCCCCAGTGTGTGACCTGGTGGGATGTGCTCCCCAGTGTGTGACCTGGTGGGACGTGCTCCCCAGCGTTGTGACCTGGTGGGACGTGCTCCCCAGTGTGTGACCTGGTGGGACGTGCTCCCCAGCGTTGTGACCTGATGGGACGTGCTCCCCAGCGTTGTGACCTGGCGGGACGTGCTCCCCAGCGTTGTGACCTGGCGGGATGTGCTCCCCAGCGTTGCGACCTGGCGGGATGTGCTCCCCAGCGGCGGGATGTGCTCCCCAGCGTTGTGACCTGGCGGGATGTACTCCTCCAGCGTTGTGACCTGGTGGAACGTGTTCCCCATCGTGTGACCTGGAGGGACGTGCTCCTCCAGCGTGTGACCTGGCGGGACGTGCTCCTCCAGCGTGTGACCTGGCGGGACGTGCTCCCCAGCGTTGTGACCTGGTGGGATGTGCTCCTCCAGCGTGTGACCTGGCGGGATTTGCTCCCCAGCATTGTGACCTGGCGGGACATGCTCCTCCAGCGTGTGACCTGGTGGGACGTGCTCCCCAGCGTGTGACCTGGCGGGACGTGCTCCTCCAGCGTGTGATCTGGCGGGATGTGCTCTTCCAGCATTGTGACCTGGTGGAATGTGCTCTTCCAGCGTTGTGACCTGGTGGAATGTGCTCCTCCGGCACGTGACCTGGTAGTTGTGCTCCCCAGGGCTTGCCTGCCTCCTTCAGATGCCAGTCTTGCCTTCCTTTGTCACCCGTGTGGAGCATCCACAGGGTCAGGCCTTTGTCTTCCAGCCCCATGTCCATGTGGTCCTCACAGCACACGGCTCTTTGAAAGGGATGGTTTTTCTTGGCTTTTTGGCTTCTTATGAATCACGTCACTTCTTACACATAAGTTTCAACATGGGAGGAAAATAAATTGGAAGTGAATCCCTCTTGGAAAGAGCTGTTTCGCTATCAGTGGGATGCACTGCCTCTCTCTGGTCCAGCCCGCTCCACTTGTGTTGACCAAGCTGCCGTGAGGCCATCAGGACAGATCATGACTACTATTGTGGGGTCTCAATTATGATAAGAAATGGCCTGTGTGGGGGAGTGGAAAATTGGCTTGCAGGTAAAGCCAGGTTGTTGGGGTCGTCTGTATCGGATGGGTGCACCACGTATGGCCAGGTGGGGGCACGCACCCCTGCACAGGGCTGGGCTCTGTACGCAGCCCCACAGAGCATGACAGCCCCCCGTCTTTCCGACATAGTCTAAACCATCCTGGCTGGGTCTTCAGTGTTTAATGTCTTTGTGAGGATCAAAACTCTAGCACCAGATCTTTCTTCTGAGCTCTAACCTGTTACTTATAAACACTAAAGTGTTAACTTAGGTTGTGACTTAATTCACAAATTCAGTCGTCATGCTTTTTTCTGTGTGTGTGGGATTTCAGGGAAGTGACTATTACAGTAGACAACCAAAAGTTGACCGACTGCTTTTAACAGAATCACTTCCCAGAAAGTTAGACGTGTCCTCGTGTATCTCCACGCTTACGAACCGGCACAGTCAGGAGGGTCTGAAGGTACACGCTCCACCGTAGGAAGGCCTGTGGCTTCAGCAGGGGGAAAACGGAAAGTTAGATTTTCGGTAGCTTTCAAAGTCGCTAGACAAAGCATGTGTTACACCCACAGGCTTGGAGCTGGAACACCCAACTGGCCTCTAGCTGAGGGTCGCGAAGTGGGACAAACTGCAATCTTTCTGGGGTGGGAGTGACAAAGGGAGGCTGGTCCACACTATCTTCGTGACCCTCGGATGTGAAAATGGCCCATTGGAGGGATTTTGACTTGGCCCTTACGCGAGTTGTGGTGTCTGACCGTGTGTCCTCCTGTTTTGCAGATGCCTTTGTGAACAGCCAGGAATGGACGCTGAGTCGATCTGTCCCGGAGCTCAAAGTGGTGAGTGGTTCTTTCTGGCCCTGGCAGCTGTCATTTGTCACCTGTGGGAAGTGGGGGGGCTCTACAAGAGGCAGATATGACTGCGCACACGTGAGCTGAGCCTGCATTCCCAGGCAACTGGTCATCTCCTGGGGCCCAGAGTGGGAGTGTGACTCTGGGTGTGTTCCTGGGAAGGGCCAGGTGTAGTTGATAGCTGGGAACTAGAGTCCTGAGTGAACCTGAAACAGCCATGACAGCCACCCAGCCAGGGCGGCACCTCCTCTGCAGGACAGAGGCCACCGTCATCCCCTCTTTTACAGTGTGTGTGTGTATCCATCCATCCTGGTGGGCTGAACACCTGGTCACCCAGTATGACCAGGTATGTGACCTGGCGTGTGTGTGTGTGTGTGTGTGTGTGTGTGTGTGTGTGTGTGTGACTTGGTGGTCGGTCAGTTTCTCTCCCCCCCACACACACACACCCCCACCCCCACACCTGTGGGTTTATTTGTCCTTTGCGGGGTGTCATGGAAGGTTTCTATAATGAGTCACCGCGCTTTGGTATTCATCATTTTTTAAATGTGACTTATCTACTCTGTGAGCAAGTGTTGGCATGAAATTAACAGTTTTGTCTTCTGTTACGAACTTTGCCCTTTTGGTGAAATTATCTAAAGCTTAAAATTGGCGTACGTAAAAAGTGGTCCATTGCAGCCGCCCTTTCCAGCTGCTCCCCTCTTGGAACCACCCACCATAGGATGGAACAAAGGGGCAACTCTAACTTTGAAACAATCATGTTTTTGTCGTGATATATGTGGCATTTGTGTGTATGCGTGTATGTTTATGTATGTATGTATGTGTATATATGTCTGATTTCCGTATGCGTGTGTGTGTGTCTATGTTCTAATCTCACTCTGACCGTGAAAGGAAGGCAGGTGAACTGCTGTTCTGCAGACTCCAAGCCGGGCCTGCCGAGTGTGTCTGTTCTCTGCATTTCTATGGATGGCACCAGACCCCCTGTGGCCCGTGGACTCCTCCCCACTGACCCAAACTCACTGGGTGCTTGGAGGACAGGACAAGGGCCAGGGGACAGGACCCTTTTGGTCTCTCGTGCCTGAGATGAGGAGATACAGCAACAGAGACCTTCTAGGGCTTTGAAGAGAGCATACGTGACCTTTGTCACCAGGAAGAATCTGCGTTTTTAACCTTAGGGAATCAAGTACAGTGCGTGGGAGGTGCCCTGAGATGGGAAGGCCCTGTGGTCACTGTGCCCTCTCTCTTGTTGGCGTCTGACACACCCAGCCCCACTGTGACCGTGGGGTGTCATCGACTGGGCCCTTCTCCTTCCCAGTGTCTGTCCCCCGCCCTGTCCCTCCCTGAAGGTGTCTGGGCTGTCTCTGCAGTGCCTGCCCATGGGAGACAAACCTTCTCAGCCCCAGTTCCTGTCTTGGAAGCCTGGGGTTCCTAGTACCAGCCAGGAAACAGCCGCCTCTTGCTGCCTTTTGTGTGCTTTGTCACCGCGGCACCAGCGGGGTGTCTTAAGCCGAGAGAAGCCATCCAGGAAATAGGCGCTGCATGAATGGCACAGGCTTGGCAATGCTGTTACCAGGAGATTTTCAGAACAATCCCCCAGTTTCAGTGACTCCCCATTAAGACAGTCGCTGCCATTCGGGTTCTGTGATGGGCATGGAGCAGCAGGCATGGTGCTTTACTGGCAGTGATGGCGTCTATACAGCGCTGGCTCTGCGCGGGTCGTGTTCTAAGTGCTGTACAAAATTGCTTAATCCTGACAACTGCCCCATGGGGAGGGGTAGGTATGGTTATCCCCATTTCACAGATGAGGAAACTGAGGCTCAGAGAAGTGAAGAACCTGCCCAAGGAGCTGCAGTAAGTAAGTGGTGGAGCTGAGGTTCGAACCTGGAATTGGTGCTTCCACCACCTCACTGCCTGATAGAACTTTCTCAACGGTAGAAATGTGTGTCTGCACTGCCCAGTGTGATCGCAGCTGGCCCTGTGTGGTTGTTGAGTGATTGAAATGTGGCCAGCGCCATCAAGGAGCTGCTTTTAAGTCTGATTCTAGTTCATTTAAATTGAAATAGCCACACAGGGCCAGTGGCCACCCTAGTGCCAGCATTACAGACGAACTGACCGTCAAGTATGGAACCACCTGACTTGCCAGTTCAAGGTGTTGCAGGTTCAGAGAGGGCCCACGTGATCATACCAGCCCACCATCAAGGATGCTTACTACCAAAAACTTACGCTCTGCTGGTATTTCGAAAGCATGTGATTTTCTTGAATATCTGCCCGGAGGTGGAGGAGACTGCACTTGAGACCGTTGCATTTAGTGTCGTTCTGAAACGGACTTGCTTCAGTTTGCTGATGCAGTGGACTTCCGTGCTGTTGATTCTACAGTTCTCAGAAAGCTCCCAGCCCTGGCCTGAGTGTGGACAGACGAGACCCTGGCAGGCCCACCAGCTCTGCTGTAGCCCAGGTGGCATCAGCGGAGCCGGTCCTCATTGGCACCCCTGCAAGACCCCCTGGGTGCTGAGGAGTGCTCGGGGTCTGAAGAAAGTGCTGCTTTGTTCCCCAAGGCAGCCTTCAAGTGCCCACAGGGCTGCGATTGTTTTCCTCCTAGCGCAGCTCCCCCCAGGACAGGTGGCCCTTTAGGTCAGCGCCTCAGGAACCCAGCCCCTGCCTCGCAAACGCGGCAGTGACATGATGTCATGGCGAGCCTCCAATAGGCTCTTTATGTAACATTTTGCTATAAATCTTTTGGAATCCATCAGAGAAAAAAATTCAATGTTCGCTTTCTTCTCAAGAATGGTAGTACCATGCCTTGCCTTCTCTTCTCTGTTCTCGCCTGTGGCAGTGTCTCACTCTATTGCCCAGGCTGGAGTGCAACGGCACCATGTTGGCTCACTGCGACCCCTGCCTCCCGGTTCAAGTGGTTCTCGTGCATCAGCCTCCCGAATAGCTGGGATGCCAGGCGCCCACCACCACATCTGGCCAATTTTTGTATTTTTAGTAGAGATGAGATTTTACCATGTTGGCCAGGCTGGTCTCAAACCCCTGACTTTGAGTCATCTGCCTGCCTTGGGCTCCCAAAGTGCTGGGAGGACAGGCGTGAGCCACCGCGCCCAGCCTTATGTTTTCTGAAGTTGCGCTGTGGTCAGGTCATCCATGACTGGTTGCTTTTGGTGCTGCAGAGGATCCAGCCGCTGCTGGCTACAGATGTGTGCCCAGCAGCAAAGGCATGATGCTTCTGTCGGCGGGGAGGAAGGCAGATACGCCCTGGACATCTTGCCTGTGCAGGGGGACCTCAGTCCCCAGCCCCTCACATCCTATTAGTGTGTGTTCATTGAACTCCAACTGGGATTTTTACCAAAAGCCTTGATTTCCTTTTCAGCAAATCTCAGGGTTAGCAGGTAAGTGGTGAAGTGCGGGATGCGAGAATCAGTTTAGAAAGACACTTGTTCCCTTTGGCCTTGTAATATGAAGGACCGAGCACGGGGCTCTGACACACTTCATGGCCCTGCACAGACCCTGCGGGGTTGACAGCAGCGACCTCTTCCTGCTTTAAGTACGTAATTCTGTAATTTTCAAGACACCAGATTCCTCCACACGTTGCTTTTTGGCTCGCTCTGGATTGATTTCCTCCATCTTGGTTTACTTCCAGCAGCCGCTCCGAAAGCTTCACAGGTGGCGTGCCGCCCCGGTGGGAAAGGGCATTTTTACCCCTCATTTTATTTTCCTTTCACCATCAGCTGTTAATTTCAACCAGCATTTCAAATTAAGATAATGCCATCATGTGTGAATATAAGGCAGTCTGTGAGATGGCTGTTCAGCCAAACAAAACTCCTTCCCACTCCACCCCAAGATTGATTGCCTTTGTTCCTCTAAGGGGTGAGCTTAATCTGCGCCCATCTTGTTAGGTGGAAGAAGGCAGTTACGTTGCTATGCAGAGAAGGCACATACGATGTTTGGTTTTCGAGCATTTTCTTCCTCGGGAAGGAGAAACTCTGATTTTAATTAAAAATTTAATTCTGTGGCATACTGTTTTGGATTTTCTCAGCATGAAGCTGACGAACAGCAGGTGCCCTTGAGCAAAAGAATAATTAGTAGGTAGAAATTCTCAGATTATAGAGGCCCAGGGTAAAAAAGATGTACGTCGAATTAGGAGGGGAAACAGCTTTATTTAGAATCTGTCCACACAGCCTGGCTTTGAGCCTGGCTCTGAGCCTTAGTAATAAGCATCTCATTCATACTCACCAGCATTGGAGTTACTCCGTCACTCATTCATTCTTTTACTGGCCCGCGTAAGGCAGGGATTCAGAGAACAAGACAAGTGTAAGACAGTGTGCCTGCCCTTGAGGAATTGTCAGCATTGGAAGGAGCAAGATCAGCATACTGATGTTTGCAAAATAATGTGTTCCCATTGAAAGAGATCCTTGGGGCAGACGCCTAAGGGAGCTTTGAGGAGAGGCACCCAGTTGAGGCTGTGGCATTAGGAAGGTGTCTTCGTCCCTTCGGGCTGCTGTAACAAAATATCATAAACAGAGCAGCTTATAAACAACAGGAATGTATTGCTCACAGTCCTGGAGGCTGGGAAGCCCAAGATCAAGGCACCTGCAGATTTGGTGTGTGAGGACCTGCTTGCTGTTTTGTAGGTGGTGTCTTCTTGCTATGTCCTCATGTGGAGGAAGAGGTGAGACGTCTTTGCCAGGCCTCTTCTGTAAGGGTGCTAATCTGCACCTGTGACTATCTCACCTCGTAATACAATCACCTTGGGGGTTAGGTTTCTGTTTTTAAATTTTTTATTTATTTTGTTTTTATTTTTTAAGACAGAGTCTTGCTCTGTCATCCAGGCTGGAGTGCAGTGGTGTGATCACAGCTCATTGTAACCTCCGCCTCCCAGATTTAAGTGATTCTCCTGTCTCAGCCTCCTGAGTAGCTGGGATTACAGGCATGTGCCACCATGCCCAGCTAATTTTTTTGATTTTTAGTAAATACGGGGTTTCACCATCTTGGCCAGGCTGGTCTCAAACTCCTGACCTCAGGTGATCCTCCTGCCTTGGCCTCCCAAAGTGCGAGGATTATAGGCATGAGCCACTGTGCCCAGCTGGGGGTTAGATTTTAACATACGAGTTTGGCTGGAAGGGTAGGGGTAGGAGGGGGAAGCGTGAACATTCTACCACAGCCGAAGGCTTCTCAGAGGAGGTGGCATCTGAACTGATAGTAAGAGTAGATTTTGGGGAATGATTGATGTGGAAAGCTTTAGTTGCCTGGAGACAGCAAGGCCTGTTGGGATGTGGCTTAGTAGCTGATTGACTAGAAGGCTAAGCAGGGAGAGGGAAGGTGAGAGGTGGGAGGGCTGTTGCTGGGGTGTGAGAGGACAGGATCGGGTATAGTTTTTTTTTGGGGGGGGAGGGGGTGCGATCTTGGAGGTTTTTCTTTTTTGGGGGTGCAGGGTGCGATCTTGGAGTGCAGTGGTGTGATCTTGGCTCACTGCAACCTCTGCCTCCCGGGTTCAAGCGATTCTTCTGCCTCAGCCTCCTGAGTAGCTGGTATTAACAGGCGTGCACCACCACAACCAGCTAATTTTTTTATTTTTAGTAGAGATGGGGTTTCACCATGTTGGTCAGGCTGGTCTCAAACTCCTGACCTCGTGATCTGCTCATCTCGGCCTCCCAAAGTGCTGGGATTACAGGTGTGAGCCACTGTGCCCTGCCCGGGGTATGGGTTTTTTAGAAAGGCCACTCTGGCTAATGAGTGGAGGGTGGGAGCAGCCAGGACTGGGTAAAGGAGAATGTTTGGATCCATGAGCCCTCACTCAGGCAGCAGACCACTACCTCGCCTGTAAATCACTGAGAACTTCCCTTCCACACTCCCACGTCAAATTTGTTCTCTTTTATGTTTGTTCTTAATAGCTGTTGGCTTCATCATCCACTTAACCAGTTTTCCCTCCTCCTTCCTGTCTCTCCTCCCTTCTCCTCTCCTCTTTTTTTCCACTTTCCATCTCTCCTTCCTTCTTCCCATCCTTCTTTCTTGCCATCCATCTATCCACCCACCCATCCTTTTTTACCAGGCCTCTGCTGGGGCCAGGAACTGTGGCAAGTGTACAGATTGGGAACTGGTGTCTGCTTGTATCTGGAGACAGAGTCTTGGCCTTCAGGGTCCTCAGTGTAGTGGGAGGTGGAGCCCAGGGCATCACCAGAGCCCTATGGGAGTTGGGGAGGGGAAGCAGGGAAGCCTTCCCAAGTGAAAGTGAAGCCCTTGTGAGGTAAGAGAGGTGGGTGCTCAGGTGGCAGGAGCAGTGAAGTGTTCTTGTGGCAAGTTCACAGACCTGCTGGGCCCGTTAGCTGACAGCAAAGTTGTGTGTGAGGATTCGGAGGGAGATGGTTTGTTCCGAAAACGTTTGGAGTGTGGCCTCCAGGCAGCAGGAGTCTCCCAGGACTTGTGAAATGAAGGAGTGCCATTTTCTCATGGTCAGTTTTCAAGAATCTCTCAGGTGTTCTCGGGGTGAAAGCAGGTGCTCGCAGGCAGGGCGAGGCCCTGGAGGCTGCCTCCTCAATCCGGGCACACTGAAGAGTCCACACTGAGGTGGCAGTCGTGTGCTAGGAGGGAGGGACTCCCTGACTTCCAGCCATTGGGAGCCAGGGATGGCCCCCAGCTCTCTGGTTTGAGAGGCTGAGTATGATGTGGCCTCAGAAGCTGATGAGCAGCCTGGAAGGGAGAGACGAGGTATGGACCTGTCAAGGCGCAAGTTCCGCATAGGTGGTGTACGGATGTATACTTAAAACCCTGGCCTAGTTCTGATGGGAGCTGAGTAGGGGTGCCTGGAGCTGGGGTGGACAGTGGCCAGGGAATGTGGTTTTGGAATAGGCAGCTTTTTCCCCACATCCAACCTCCGTCAGTGAGCTACGATTCCAGAGTCTACAGGGTGTCTCCTGTTAAATGGAGTCACAACTCACTCAGAGAAGGTTGGATGTGGACAGGCACATGTGAGGACATTAGATTTGGAGGATCAGCTGGAGGTGTGGGGTGGAGCCCTGGAGAGCCTCGGTGTGTCCCAGAGGATGGAGGCAGAGCCCACAGAGCCGGGAGGTTGGTACAGGCGGAAGCCGGAAGAGAGTGTCTTAGCAGCAGCTGCCTATGATGAGTGAGAAAGGCTAGTGGCTTTGAAATGGAAGTCATGGGTGACCTACTGGCCAGAGCCTCAGATAATTTGAGTGGAGGCAGGAGGGAGGTCAGGAATGGGAACCGGCCAGGTGCAGTGGTTCACGCCTGTAATCCCAGCACTTTGGGAGGCTAAGACCAGCCTGACCAACATGGAGAAACCCCATCTCTACTAAAAATACAAAATTAGCTGGGTGTGGTGGCATATACCTGTAATCCCAGCTACTTGGGAGGCTGAGGCAGGAGAATCGCTTGAACCCAGGAGGCAGAGGTTGCAGTGAGCTGAGATTGCCCCACTGCACTCCAGCCTGGGTGACAAGAGTGAAACCCCATCTCAAAAACAGCAAGTGGAACCAAGAGCAGGCGGGGCTGAGTCCCAGCTCGGGTAATGGCAGGTGGCCTTAATGGGCACCTGTGGCCAGGGGTGGGTCCCTTGTGATGTTTTAGGTCTTTTAAGGAATCAATTTGATCATGCTTAAATTTGATCACTAGCGATGTTCTAGTGGGGGAGGAAAAGATGAAATGCAGGATATTTTTGATGAGCCGCTTCCTAGAGAAGACTGTGGGGTGGGGGGGTGGTATGCAGCTCCCAAGCACAGGGAAGGGGAAGCTCCCTGCGGGACTGGCCCCCTTGGAGGCCAGGTGTGTTCACCACTTGGAGGCTTCCTCTGAAGAAGCCCCTGGAGGGTCAGCCTTGCCACCAGGTTACCGCTAGGACAGAGGCCCTCATGTCACCCTCACTCCTGAGGGTCGCCTTCTAATCCAGCACAAGCGAGCACCTTTGCCGTCTCTCCCAGCAGCCCCAGCACCGTCCCCTTTTTCTGGAGATGCCGTGGTGGGTCTTATGTCTGGGAGGCAGGTGTGTGCTCTCCTCGCCTGCGTGGCCAGCCACTGCCTTGCTCCTCCAACCCCAGGTCTCCCCTAGACTGCCCTTTTCTGCTCCTGCTGTCCTGCCCCCAGATCTACCCCGGACTCCTCCCTAGAGATGCTACTGTGCGCTGGTCCTCCCACTCCCCCCACGTCACTCAGCACTGCCCTTGGGTGCCACCTCACCTGCCACTTTTCCCAGTCTCCGGAGGGTGCGCAGTAGATGCCAGCGGGCTGACTCAAACAACACAGCCCTGATGTAAGCCATGCGCTTGTTTTCTGGAAGAATGCCCAACTAGTGCTTCTGCCAGCACTGCGGATGCCATTGCAGCTGCAGAGGCAGATGAGAACGTGAGATGTTAATTAAGGGCGCCGGACTCCCTTCTACTCCAAGAGGAGCACTGAACGAGCTCGGTTTTGGCCATCCAGCCAGTGCCTGGTGGTGTTTGTGTTTAGGACGCCTGTCTATTTTAGCCTCTTTGTGTCTGCAAAATGCCAAGTAAAGCGATTGGATTGTGCTTAACGGATGTCGGTTTCTGTTTCAGGGAATTGTGGGTAACTTGGCCAGCGGCAAGTCGGCCCTGGTGCACCGGTACCTGACGGGCACGTATGTCCAGGAGGAGTCTCCGGAAGGTATGCTGCTTGGCAGGCAGTTGCAAGCTTAAGAATGTAGTTTTTAAAAAAATTTTCTTTAGCATATTCCAAACGTGACTTTGATGTATCACAGGTCAAGAAAGCAATAAAACATACCAGGCAGTAAAAATCCTTAAGTATGTGGTTTCTTCAGTAGTATTTTTAGCAGAGCCATTATATTCACTTTGGTATTTGGAATAGCACAGTAGAACCATGAAATGCCGTTGAATTTATTGCCTAATTGTCCTGTCCTTTCAAATGTCCTTTTAAATCTAGTGTCCGTTTTATCCATTGTTACTCCTTTAAATATTGACCGGACATGTCTGTGATCTGGATATTGAATTTATGCATTATTTGTATGTAATATTACTTAGTCACAGGTAGAGCCTTTCTGCATAAGATGTTCAGATTACCACCACCATATGTTTGAGTATGTTTCCCCCCTTATATTGTATTATAAACATTTAATAATCATTTTGCATGAGAGTAAGATTTTTTTTTTTTTTGCCATTAGGCATTTACTTCTTCAGTTAACATGTCCATATTTTATTTTTTGCCTTAAATACGATGATGGTAATGGGAGGAAAGCCTTTAGCCCCCGTGTCCCTTAATGAAGGTATAGTTGACAAGCAGTTTTCTAAATTAAATTTTCTCTCCATGTAACCTTGTTAAATCCAACTCTGAGACACTGAATTTCTGGTTCCTTCTTTTTCTTACTGGCTGTTCCATTCTTTGCAGATATGGATGCAGGTAACTATTCATTTTCTTCATGGCAGCGCTTGTCTTGTTTTGGAGAGAGAGGAAAGGCACCACTCTGTACTGTAGCGTTCCCTTCCCTCCTTGTTCTGTGTACCATCCTATTTTGTTTCATTTGATCTTTTTTTTCAGTTGAACATTCCACCCTGTTTTGTCCCTTAGTTGTCTTTTTAGCAGTAGTCCCAAGTAGCTTCACCTGTTTCCTGTAACACCTGTCCTAGCCTTTAACTCTTGTCCTGAATACTGTGGTACCGTTCAGAAACGTATGGAAGTGGCCTGGGGCTCTGCCAGTGTTCTGCAGAATTCTGCACCCGGTCATAAACACCTCAGGCATCAGGAAGAGACCTTTCATACTGAAATGATGATGTAGGAAGGTGAGAGGTGAAAATAAAGGAAGGCTCATATGTGGGAGATCAGTAAGAGAAAGCTTGCCTGTCCACTGAGAAATACAGACAGATGCTAGAAAATGGCAAGATTTGGAGAAACAAGAACAGGTAGTATTTCGCCCCCTGTCTTTCCAGCTTCTTTCCTGGGCACTGTCCCTGGGTTGTGATGATTTATTTGCTCCTTTGTGTCCGAGTGTGAATTTTAGCCACAGCCAGCTGATGACACCTAGGGAATCTTTTAGAGGAGCTCCCTTGGGTTTTCCACTTACCTCTCGGGGCTAGCTGTTGTAGAGGTTATACAGAGGTTAACTCACCTGCAAGTGAAATAATCACCTTCTCCAAGTAAAGCTGCCTTGAGGCCCCTGCAAGTCTGTGGATTTCAACCTGGGATCACAGGAAGTTCCGTGGGTCTGGCCCTGGTTCTGTTGCTGTTGTTCTGACTGTCTCTGGCCCTGGGGTCTGGGTGTCTGGCGGGGCGGTGCTGGAGGCCCCGGGTCTCTGCAGTAAGAACAAGGACCACGACTCACTTACAGTGGCCTTTCTGTTATATTGCTATTTGGTCATTTTTGTGGCTTTTTGCTGTTTTCCTTTTGGGCATTTACAGTGTGTTCCATCATATTTGGGCCCAACTGTGACATCTTTGCAATGCGTGATTGACCCTTATATTTTCACTAACACCAAGGCATTTCTCTTGAATGTTTATACATCAAAAGGAAGGAATGCCCCCATGGGATGACCTAAACTGATCACTAACACCCCTCCTTCTTTGGTTTTTCAAGTAATACATTTTACTCCACTGAAATTTCATAGTATTGTGTATGGTTTTTAAAAATACATTTTTTTAAAGGGTAGGAGCATGGGTGAGTACATCCCATTCTTCATCTGCAAAGTGAAAATGGCTTATCACCCTCGTGGGCCCCATGCCCAAGGCTTCCTGGGTCAGGGAAAAGATCATGATCCCTGATCTTTACTCATGCCCTGCTGCAGCTCTCCTGAGGCATCTGGCCTCTCACCTTTTGACTTGAGGTCCCAGGGATTGTTCTGTGGGAGTGTGAGGAGCTGACAGCAGCAGACACCCAGGTGCACCCCAGTGGGCGTGCGTCTAGGGCCCCTGGTGCTGAAAGAATTAAGAATACAGGCGCTGCCTTACGCCTGGAAGCCTCTTAGCCCTGCCGAATTCACATTTCTCATGGCTGGGCCACCTTTCCCATGTAGAATCACGCAGGTGGCCACTGTCTTTGCCTCTTTTAACGAGACCAGGGAACGGACTGTCACTCCCTGTTCACGTGACCCTTGTGCCTCCTGACAGTGGCAGGGGAGTGGGGGGAGCCATGACTTGTACTGTAACTTGTGACGAAGGGAGCCATACTTGCTGTTTGGGAAAGAAAACGAATGAGAAGCCGTGATTTCTTTCATACCGCAACCTTGCCATCCTGAAATTCCTTCTCATGCTCAGGGAGCCTGCCCCTGGAAAGTGATTTCAGTTTTTGTCCAGCGAGTCCGTGTTGATCAGTTACCCATGCTTGCTTAATTGAAAAGCTTTAGGTATAGAGTGTAGTGGGTTTGGGATATAATTTACTGTGTCATCGCCTGGGTGTGTGGAGAATAGCAAAGGGCTGTGTCGTCCTCGGGGAGTGCTGGAGGTTGACCAGCTGGTGATAGCTCAGCCTCACCTGTGGTTGGTTCATAACCACACAAAGGCGAGGCCGCAGCCGATGGGAATGGCTGGCGCCCAGCTGAGGGAGTGGATTTTGAGTGAGCTCTGTGTCCTTCCCATTTCTTGGTGTCACCGTTACCTTCTCGTCGGCCCACCTTTCCTCTTACAACTGCTAGAAGGATCAGCGGGGCAGCCGCTTTGAGTGAAAGGCAGTTTGCTGTGGATCTGCCTGTCCAGATAGCTCCTTGGATTCTCCCTGTGCTTCTTGGTGTCTGTACCCTGTTCTGATTAAACTAGTGCATGAATATCCTTTATCCTCACTGACCTGTGGCTGGGATATGGAGATTGCTGGGAGGGGTGAGGTGGGGAGGGTGGGGAGGGGGTGAGGTGGTGAGGGCCTTTCTGTCTTCAGGGGAGAGCCCTCTTGGTAGAAACATTTCTGGTGCAGAGCTGTCTCCAGATCCAAGCCTGCTTTTCAGCAGATACATCAGATGCATTTTAGCTCCATCCCAGAGGGTAACATCTGCTGTCTTTTAATTGTGTGATGCATTTTGGTTGATATTTTATTATTGTGGTAAAGAGAGCCAGCTCACAAGATTTAGATTTTTTTTTTTTTTTTGGTCACAGCTCTGTCACTCAGGCTGTAGAGTGCAATGGCGCAATCTCAGCTCACTACAACCTTCGCGTCCTGGGTTCAAGTGATTTTCCTGCCTCAGCCTCCTCAGTAGCTGGGACTACAGGCGACCGCCACCACTCCTGGCTGATTTTTGTGTTTTTAGTAGAGATGGTTTTACCACGTTGGCCAGGCTGGTCTCAAACTCCTGACCTTAAGTGATCCCACCGCCTCAGCCTCCCAAAGTGCTGGGATTACAGACATGAGCCACCACACCCAGCCAAGATTTAGATGATATTAAAGATGCAGTTCAAATGAGGGAAGGATGTAAACATTGTTTTTCAGTTAGTGAATTAACAGTGCAAAAGTGGGTAACTCCATCGGGAGCTTGTGGTTGATTTCATGAAAGCAGTCAGAGTAAACCTCTTGTACAGATAGATTCCTTCTGTGTGTGCACACATGCACGTGCGTGTGCACACCTAAGTGTGTAATAGATGTATGTGTACCCAGTGTGGCATAAAACAGAAATGTATTCTCACACTTCTCAGAGGTCTGAAATCAAGGTGTGGGCTTTGCACGCTTTGAGGCTGAATCTGTTCCATGTCGTGCAGTTGCTCTTCTGATTAAACTAGTGCGTGAATATCCTTTATCCTGATCCTGACCCGTGGCTGGGATATGGAGATTGCTCAGAGGGGTGAGGTGGTGAGGGCCTTCCTGTCTTCATGGGAGAGCTCTCTTGGTAGAAACATTTCTGGTGCAGAGCCATCTCCAGATCTGAGCCTGCTTTTCAGGAGATACATCAGATGCATTTTAGCTCCATCCCAGAGGGTAACATCTGCTGTCTTTTAACTGTATGATGCATTTTGGTTGATACTTTATTTTTGTAGGGAAGAGATCCAACTCACAAGATGCAGTAAAGATGCAGTTCAAATGAGGGCAGGATGTAAATAGTGTTTTTTTTTCAGTTGGTGAATTAACAATGCAAAAGTGGGTAACTCTGTAGGGAGCAGTCAGAATAAACCTCTTGTATAGACAGATTCCTTAATGGTGTGTGTGCACACCTAGGTGTGTAATGTGTATATATGCACCTCAGTCGCAGGGTTGTGGTAACAAAGTACCACAAACTGTGGCTTAAAGCCGAAGTGTATTCTCACAGTTCTCAGAAGTCCGAAATCTAGGTGTTGACGGGGTTGGCCCCTTCTGCAGGCTTTGAGGTTGAGTCTGCTGCATGTCTGTGCACAGCTGTTCTGGTTTAATTTGTGCCTGAATAGCCTTTGTCCTGATCCTCACCTGTGGCTGGCATGTGTAGATTGCTGGGAGGGGTGAGGTGGTGAGGGCCTTCCTGTCTTTAGGGGAGCGGTTCTGGTGGTTGCCAGTGATCCCTGGCATTTCTTGGCTCGTAGACTCCTAACTCCAACCTCTGCCTCTGTCGTCACAGCGTTTTCCTGGTTATCTGAGACTGTGTCCAAACTTTTCTTGGAAGGACACTAGGCATTGGCTTTAGGGCCCACCCTCCTCCAGCATGACGTCATCTTTACTTGATCCCATCTGCAAAGACCCTCTGTCCACGTGGGGTCACATCACAGGTCCTAAGGGGACACAGCTCAACCTGCAGCAGTGTGTGTGTGTTACATACCTGTGATGTTCTCCAGAGGTGTTCAATCTTTCGTCTTCCCTGGGCTACCTTGGAAGAAGACGAATTGTCTTGGGCCACACATAAAATACACTAACACTAATGATAGCTGATGAACTTAAAAAAATCACACACAAACACAGACACACACACACACACACACATACACTCTTAGTGTATTAAGAAAGCTTGTGAATTTGTGTTGGGTGACATTCAAAGCTGTCCTGGGTGGTGGGTTAGAGAGGCTTGGTTTAGACAGACACTGCACGCAGAACAGTGGGAGTCGCCCTGTCACTTGGTACTGATCACTGTTCCTGCCAGCGTTGCTTTGGCAATGTCTGTTGGTGTTCTAGAACCTCACAAGGACTCATTGGCTGGCAGTAACCTTCACACCTCTGAGGACAATTTCACAGCTGCCATTCACTTCCTGTAAAGAGAATCAGATGAAAATTACTCATTTGTCATTTGAGCTCTAATAATGGCTGTTAATTAGAATCATGAGTGACGCTTTGGGTGTGTAACGTGACTTCCCCCATCGCGTGTTTATGTGCTTAATATTCAGTGTGCACCTGCCTCCCCCAACACAGACCCATGTGATGCCACTCAGCTTTTAACTCTCCCTTCAAAAAAGAAAAAGGAGACAAAGCCAGACGCCCAGTATTCTGTGGAAATTTGATAGGAAATGTGGACCTGCCCCGAGACACT